CTCTCCTTTGAGTGTTTGGGAAACTTCAAGCAGTTTTGGTCCGTTCCCAAGTGCCCACAGGCTCTGCATCTGAAACAGATCGGGGATGATCTGGTTGAGAGTTTGATTTCCAGACTCTTATTTTCTATCTCAAGATCCTAGTTCTCTGGGAACACAAGAGGGTCATCTGTCTTGACTTCCAGCAGGGCAGTCATCGAACCACAATGAGGCGCAACGAATTTTGGCGTTGGCAGAATCCATTTGAGGATTCTGTTCGCTGGGTACTGGCATTCCAGTCTGTCAACCACAAGGCCATGAAAGCCTGGGTGAATGCCATCGAATTGCACCCAAAAGTTTCATGAGGGTTTGTTTGTACGAAACTGAGAAGGTAGGATTTTGTCTTTGCGCTGTCTATTACTTCCATTTTGTTATCAAGCATATGGAACCGTTGCAGTTCCTTGATTGCATGACAGCAGCACATTGAGCATGATGTTCCTTGTTGAAGATCACCATGACATTGTTGCGGCCCAGGTTTTGCAGACAGAAGAGTTCCCCGACATCCTTGAGTTTTGTCTCCTTCTTAATTGTCTCTATGATCCACTTTCTTTTCTCCGTTGGCATGAGGTCTGCACCATTTCGAGCAAAATTGAATACGACCACGTGTCGCTCATGCAGGTCATCCAGTTCGGAGATTTTGCCCTCCGGGTATTTCCAAACAATAACTTCTTCTTTCTCCCCGTTTACCACTTTCTTTGTGATTGGTACTCCTTCAACCATTGTTTTTTCTATCAAAAACTTAAGTGCTTCATTGTCAATAAGCTTCATTTGATCCCTGTTTGATTGCAGGTTACGAGGAGTGTAGACAACATTCTGGGCAGCCTGTTTGGACATGCCCGCTTCGCGGCCAGCGGTAGGAGAAGCCATTGTGCTGATCAGGTGTCTCACAGGGCTTCCGTGACTTTTTCCCTCTGAGGGGCGTCGGCTTGGAGTTGGGAAGAGCTTGCTCGTTACTGAAATGATTGGAAGAACTATGTGGTGGGGTTCTGAGACCGGTGGTGGGTGGTGGAGCAGTGAGGGGGGGGAATAGAGGAGGGGGGATCGTGGTGGGAAGCTGGTTAGTACGGTAGACTACTTCATTCAACAGGGTGGAGTGGGGTTGGTAAGCAGGGAGGTTGCTGGTTTAGTTAAGGGAGAGGGGGGGGGGGA